TGAAGACCCTCATGCTCATCACTCGAGCATTCCAAAATTAGCCTCGACCGAGGTTAAATACGCAAGATTTGCGGTATTCTGGATCTTCACGGTCGCCCCTCTTTCGACACAATGGCCCGCTTCGGATTCCTCGCGTCCTTCGTCTCAACCCTGCTCGCTCTCACGATCGTCCAAGCTGTCCCATTCAATTCAACTCTGGGTGACCGAGCGGAGGAGCTGAGCCCCGTCGCGCGTGATATCTTGCTCTCTGCCAGAGCAGTCCCCACATCCCCGCGGTGGGTAGCGTACTTTGACAAATTCGTCTCGTCTTCTTCGCTCCCCGATGTTTCTACTCTCGAGGTATGTACCGGATATTCGCCGTTTTGCTTGGTTGTTGACTCACAATACGTCCCCAGGGCTTCAACGTTTTTGCGCTCGCATTTGTATACTCCGCCAGCCTACAGGACAACGCGGCCACATGGGCTCAGTTGGATGCCGCGACGCGCGCGTCCATCAAGGCTGAAGTAAGAGAAAACAATAATTTCTAAGGTCTCTATGCTTTACATCTCGTCTAGTACGCCGCCGCGGGCATCAGCTTGATCGTCTCCGCATACGGCTCGGGTCCCGTCCCCACCAGCAGTGGGGATGACCCCACCGCCGCCGCCACCTATGTTGCCAACTATGTCAAAACCTACGGCTTGGACGGTGTCGACGTTGACTACGAGGTGCCTTTTATTTCTCTTCTCCTTCCCTCCGACCTTCAAATTCTAATCTGTGAAAACAGGACTTTAGCGCTGTTGAAACGGCCGGTACCGCCGTTGCGTGGTTGACCACCTTCACCCAGGCGCTCCGTGCGCAGCTCCCTGCTGGCCAATACATCCTGACGCACGCCCCCGTTGCCCCGTGGTTCACCCCGAACAGATGGCCCGACAACGGCTACCTCGGCGTGCACGCCGCCGTCGGGGACCTCATCGACTGGTACAACATCCAGGTATGTGTTTCCCCTTCTTTCAAAAAATCATCTCACCGAGGTATCTCTGTTTCTAGTTCTACAACCAAGGCGTTGACGAGTACACCACCTGTGCAGGCCTCCTCACCGCGTCCTCCTCCGCGTGGCCCGAGTCGAGCGTGTTTGAAATCGCTGCGAACGGCGTGGACCTGAACAAACTCGTCATCGGCAAGCCCGCGACGACTGCAGACGCCACCAATGGGTACATGGACCCGGCCACGCTTTCTACGTGTCTCGCGCAGGCGAAGGCGCAGGGCTGGAGTGCGGGGGCGATGACCTGGCAATATCCCAACGCTGAAGCCGCTTGGATCGCCGAGGTACGCGCTGGATCCTTCCCCGTCGGTTCTACCTCTGGCGGCAGCGGCACGACAACCACTGCCGCTACCACCACCGCCGCTACCACCACCGCCGCTACCACTACCAGCACTACTACAAGCACTGCGGCAGGCGGTAGCTGTACGGGCGCCGCGGCGTGGTCTGCGTCTGTTGCATACCCGGCTGGCTCAATCGTTACACTTAGCGGCACGCTGTGGACTGCGAACCAGTGGAACGAGAACGAGACGCCTGGCGGTTCTTGTGAGTTTCCCTTTGTATTCCTTTGGAGCTTGGGCTGACCAAATGCATGTACTGTAGCGGGCGCGTGGGATAATACCGCGACATGCGCGAGCACGCTCATTCCCGCCACTGCTGCTGACCACCAGGCCACCAAGGCCGCCGCGATGCAGGCTTGAGTCTGACGATCTAATGGCTAATACTTAATCCTATTTAACGACACATACGTCGAGTACGCATATATATTTTCAATCTGGGTTTCTCGCTGAACTTCCGGTTTGTCGACAAAAAAACGAATCACGCTACATACTTTCACAAAGTTCGCTGTTACGCTGTGAATTTCATGCCGGTAGTCAATATTCGACGAGGTTGAAAATAACGGTGATTCTGACTGAAACTTACGGAAATCACCAAGTGCAGGAAGTGGCGCGCACACTGAGTTGGTTTCAGCTGTTTAAATTTATTGCTGCACCCTGAGCAGATGTGGGGGCCAGTGTTGAAGCTCGGCTTACACCACAGTCTACGAATCGCGCTGTATAGTCTCTTTGCACGCAGCAACACTGTGAAAAAAGGGTCGCCTCGCGAAAAGGCAATGTTGAGGTCTCTAACATTTATTTCATACAAAGCCAGTGCAAAGGGCATTCCACAGAACCGCTCTTCGCTCTTTTGAATTCTCGAGAGCGAACACGGCTCTCTTAGCTGGGTGTGGCAAAAAAAAACGATGGGGAATCCTGCCATGCACTATGACGTTCCGTTTGGAAAAAAAATAAACCGCCTATCTAACGCGGCTGCGAGAGATTTATCTTGTGAGAGACTGAGATATCTAGTTTCTGAGAGATGACCTGGAATCGTATCTGTGAGTCTCAGCAAGATATATCTCACAATGTTCGCACTTATCTATCGCGAGGTAAAAAAAATATCTATCGCAAACTTTGAGATATATCTCGAGAGGGACTTTTTGATATTTAGACTTCCCGGTACGCCGGGGCGGTGTCCCGAGGGATGCCCCGACAAGCGCGCTCGCTGTCCGAAACAGTGGGCGGAGCCAGCGCGTGCACGGCGGTGTCGTGGCTGTCGCAGTTGAAACTCAAGGTTGAACGTTCGGATCAACGTGCCGGTGCTTGATCGTGCTTAGCTAAAGCTTCCGCCGGCGTTCTCCGCTTCTCCTTTGCCTTCCTCGCCAGTCGGTCCAGACTCCACCGACACGCCGCCATTCTCGCGGCGCCTTTCCTCCTTCTCCTCGTGTCGCGATTCATTGACATTTGTCACACTGTAAGTACGGTCTTGGCAGGCTCCCGCTATGGCACTACTCAAGTCTCAGTGGACTCTTTTTGAAGTTAGACTAAGTTGGAGGCTGAGTGACGTTGGAGAGCTCGTTGGAGTGTCGACGAAGGTCGACTACTCACAATTATGCCTCTGCTGCTGGGCTGAGCGGGAGGGTTAGATACGGGAGCATTAACTAACATTATGTACCAGGCACGGATGCCATTGCCCACTCCATCATTGCTTGCCGTTCCGAATTCGCGTTTATGGTCTTGCTATCTGGTGGACTTCAAGTTGAGGTGATTCTTGCGCGACAGCAAAAATGGCACCCTCACACCATTTCCGTACCCCGTCACCAACACAGCTGTGGGGGATATACAAGACCCGGCTCACGCGCCTAATTGGGAAGAGCGGCACATCGCTTGAACGGCCCCACACAGTGCTTGACAACTTCTCAACGGAAATTAGGAGAAAGTACATTACATTCACCTCAAGAACTTGAAGAGGAGCGCGCTCTAAATAATCTTGTGCGCCCCGGATTGCGCATGATGCTGCCATTTCCGTACATTCTGCAGCCACAGCCATGCTCTCCGCCGTCCCAATCTCAAGAAAGTCGTGTTCATCCGAGCCAGCGGTTGGCGAGCGACACTTACTTATCATTCGAGCTCATGATGACATTGTGCATGACTTGATGTCGCCCCGGCCGTAGATGAGTAAGCAGGTCATTGAGCTGTATCGCGGAGAATGGCCAACTCGGGTTGGGTTGGAAACAAAAGGCGACGGTACCTCCAGCATTGGGCTCATTCACGAATTCGACATAAACCTGCTGCGACAGCGCGTCTTGATTGAACGGACACTCAATTCGGAGGCATGGTCTGTATTCAAAAACACGATGAATGAGTAAAGAAATAGGCCACAGAACTGCATTACCTACTTGCAGAAGTAACAGCTGCTGCATGTTATAAAAATTTACAAGCGGGCGTCAAGGATACGAGGTAGTACCACCCCTCTGTGCGATCAAAGAGAGGCCCCGGTGTCATTTGCCGGGAAAGACCCAGATCTTGAGCATACAAATTGAGGTAGTTGTACTATATTGTTGATGCCAAGATTGCCGATAAGTTTTTGAAAGCGTTATCCTGGGCGACACCGACCAGCGAGAACTTGCGAACGGAACTACCAATGCCGCACGTTGGAAACACGCGGATGTGGCAGGCTCAGTGAAGCCCGGGCGTGCACACATCAAGAGTACAGGTGGAGGTCCGAGTCGGCTTGACACCGTAGCCAGAGCAAGACTCTGGACGAAGACTTGGATCAAACTCGGTCATCCAAGGACAGCGGAAACTGGCCCCGGACGTCGGGCTCTCATCGCAACCAGAAGCTTGAAAGGTGATTTTGCTAGGACTCGTGGAGGGCTTGCATGAGATACGGATGGCCACGAATTGCGAAAGACTGAGGTTTCATTTGACAAAGGCAGTAGCAAAACTAAAGGGCTTTTGCAGGGGTGCTTGAGCCCCATGCAGGGGTGCTCAAGCCTGGCAGGATTTGTCACCAAGTCGTTGGTGTCACTACTTCAGGACTGGACCGGGGCAAGGCCGGGGTTGGGCCGGGGCCACTGGCGCGGCGGGGCGGAGTCCGGATAGACAGCGGGCAGTTGTATCGACAAGGGTAGTCACGTTGCAGCACGACGGGGAGGATGAAAGGCGCCGCGAGTTGAATGGCGGCGTGTCGGTGGAGTCTGGACCGACTGGCGAGGAAGGCAAAGGAGAAGCGGAGAACGCCGGCGGAAGCTCCAGCCAAGCACGATCAAGCACCGGCACGTTGATCCGAACGTTCAACCTTGAGTTTCAACTGCGACAGCCACGACACCGCCGTGCACGCGCTGGCTCCGCCCACTGTTTCGGACAGCGAGCGCGCTTGTTGGGGCATCCCTCGGGACACCGCCCCGGCGTACCGGGAAGTCTAAATATCAAAAAGTCCCTCTCGAGATATATCTCAATTATCTCAAAGTTTGCGATAGATATTTTTTTTACCTCGCGATAGATAAGTGCGAACATTGTGAGATATATCTTGCTGAGACTCACAGATACGATTCCAGGTCATCTCTCAGAAACTAGATATCTCAGTCTCTCACAAGATAAATCTCTCGCAGCCGCGTTAGATAGGCGGTTTGTTTTTTTTCCAAACGGAACGTCATACATGCACCGGCGGGGAATCGAACCCCGTCTCACCATTGTAACAACCTCTCAGCAAAGTGCAATAACGCTGGTGTGTGTCCCATCCACAACCGGTGCTTGTTCTCTTCCTTTCGAGCTCATAGACACGCACACATCTTTGCCCTCTAGGTAGCATTGCGGCATCGCAACTCAGCCAAAACACCGCGCGAAGAAAACTACGCGTTGAACTCGATCCCACCAGGGCAGAACGACGAATAAAACAAGTCCTATTCCACATTCGAGCGCTCATACATCTCGCTCTGTTGCTGTATACGCGCGGAGAAACAAAAGAAATGAACCTCCTTTTCACGGCAACGTCATGCACCGGCGGGGAATCGAACCCCGGCTCACCGTTGCAACCTACTTGTTCGCCTTGCAGTGTGGCGGTGCGTGCTCCGTACACAACCGGTGCTTATTCCATCCCCTGTAGCCTCGTAGAATGATGGACCCATTCACCGTAAATTCTCGGTATGCGCGGCTTGCCCTGCGGAGAACCCTGCGAGGAATCCAGGTTGGAGCCCGTCCCGCTCAATGCAGAACCACACCAGGCCACTCTCCTTCTGAACTTCCAACGTATCTCGCTCTTTCATCAGTACAAGTAAATCAAGTCAAAAAAAAAAGCTCTACATTGGGCTCATGCACCGGCGGGGAATCGAACCCCGTCTCACCATTTCAATTGCAAATGAAGGCCGCCCACAACGCTGATGTGTGTGTTCCATTCGCCACCGATGCTTCTACTCTTCTTTTTAGGGGCTCCATACATTCCTCCATAATTCCAATATCCATCTGGTTATGTCTGAAGAAAAAGAAATCGTCATCATGCTCTATTATCCACCGGCGGGGAATCGAGCCCCGCATCCAGGGTGACAAGTACCGAGCGCAATAGCTGCTCTTTGTTTCGAACAAGGATGGAATGAACTGAACGGCGGTTAGCATTCGGTTGAGCGGACGCGACGCGTTGTTGCGGGTTATTAGTACATCACGTGCCCGGTCTCGTGCTTTCGTTCCCGGTTCCCGATTTCCTCCACCACTGCCAGTTGACTGCCAGTGCCTGAGTTCACCCAGCTTGCGTCCTGCGACCCAAACATCCTCCCCTAATGACCGCAACATCGCTCTCTGCAAAGCGCGCGGCTTCCATCAGGCTCTTGACGATGCGATGAAAAAACCCTTCGCTGGCTGCTCAAAATCGAGTTTGGCAACTCCGAGTCCGTGTCGACGCTCCGAACTGAACGAATCGCCAGCATGCGCCATCCGGATTCGCTGCCCGATCGGGTGTCAGGCTGAGGCGCTGAGGCAACCCCGTTTCTCAGTGTGCAACCGACTACGTCTCGATTCTGGTGGCTTGGTGGTCGAAATCCGCCAGCGGCGACAAAGACTCTGTGGTCATCGGGCGCCGTCCCAGATTCCTTTTGCATACTCTCCCGCCAACCACAATTGCTATGTGTTTGACGGAGACCAGTTTCAAAACGCGCCAATGTAGCACGCTGCACGAATCGTCGCAGCGCAATGCTCTCAGCCTCACCGCACCCCGCCCGACCTTCCCCTTTGCGCGCGCACTGCTGTCTCGTCACAGAGCGTCCCCCTCCATCCTCGAGACATCATTCCATTTATGCATATTCGGCCATTCTCCAGCCCACGAGGCACCGTCCCCATCCATCACTCCCCATTCTCACCTCATCATCCACAAGGGAGGACGACGAGGAGGCGGACCGCCGCTGTGCGCGGCGTCCCCTACCCGTACGAGATCGAGATTAGTCCTGCAGATAGTCGCGAAATCGGAACGCTTCGAAGGCGAGGATGGGATGCGCGGGACGAAGAATCACACGCAAAGCCAGGAGGAGGGCGCACCGTATGATGTGCTGGGATGGAAGTAGCCCGAGACAGTGTGTTTCCCTCTTGCGTATCCGTATCATTCCACCGCTGACCCGCACTCGGTAGCCCGAATGGCACTTATACACGGTGTACATCGACATGATCAATGGATATTATTCCATCCTGCTGCAGCATGCAGGCTGGCGTCCACGTTGCATTAGTACACCCTCGCCCCCGCCTGCCGCTGCTGCCGCATCCGCCTCTCTAGCGAGCCGCAAGGGCTTCTTGCAGGCTCCGCACGAGAACGAAGACCCAGCGCCGGTGATGGTGCGCTGCGCTCGTTGTTACTGCGCTCGGCGCCCCTCGTGTGCTCCTGCTGCTCCCTATCCCGCCTCGGCAGAGGCCACCCATGGGGAGCGAGGCAGCACTGACCCGTACCTCGCCGCCCACCCACCCACACCCACCAGCTTCTCCACGTCCTCCGCTCGAGCCGTCCTATCGTCACGATACTTACCCCACGCCTGCGAATCCTCTCGCAATACACGCCGCGAACGAATTCGACGACGACGCCGCGGCAGCGCTTTTGCCAAGGACGAATTCGAGAGCGCGCGACGCCGTACGAGGCCTGTGCGGTGAGCTGGCGCGAGGGACACCGACGCACTCGAGGAGGGTGAGGAAGGGAGGTGCGGGCGGGGAGGGGCGGAGTAGCGATCTCGAGAACAGGGAAGGACACGATCGCGTGGTAATTGGCCGTCTCGTCTCGCCTGCGTCCTTAGGGTGTACCATGACGGACATGACCCGCACTTCGCAGCCTCGACATCCGCCACCTTTGGGAAGCCGGCCCCGCGATGGATGTATCATGTGGGTAGCGGGATCGCAGGCGGGTGCGGCGCGCGCGGGGGAGGACGCAGCCACGCGGAAGGGAGATGCGAAGAGCTCTGCGACGTAGGGATCTAGTCCTAGCCCCCGTGCTGCTGGGCACCGACGACACCATCCTACGCGCGCCGCCTGCCAGGCGGTGCGCGTCCCACCGCTGCGTGAGGCTCCCTGAAGGACGCTCCGTCGCTTGCTGCAGAGCAGGCGTTTCAAGCCAGCGTCCGCTCGCAGTAAGTCTGGATGAGGATGCGAGGATACATAGAGAGCGCGCGCGGGCGGAGGGGGAGATGTAGCTCGCGCTTCGACACAGGGCACGCTATAACGCGGCGCGCTCGGAAGCTTCATCCACATCTCCGTATTTGCCGCCGCCTGCTTCGCTGGCTTCATCGTTCTCCGCCGGCTGGGGACATCGCGCACGCGGGAGACAGCACCGTGGACGCCGCAAGTGAGGATAGTTTTTTCTCTTACCAGCGTGGTACAATCGACGACGCCGTTTTCAGTGCACGTCGCGTGCGCCGATATGCGGTGGGGAGCGCACTGGGGGGGGGGTTTCGCACTCAGAGCGGGCGGGGTCGTGGCGACGAAACCCCGGATGTTGTTCTCTTCCACCGCCTGCTGGGGACGACACGAGCGCGGGCACGGAACCACCCCAGTGCCGCAATCCACGCTGCTGCTCCTACGCGACGCCGTACGACCCCATGCTGCAGACGATCTCGCTTTGCAACGATGCGCGGGTACCACGGGGGAGAAGAGGATAAGGGAGAGCTGAGATATCGGAGACCTGCGCGCTCCAGAAGCACGGCTGGGTCATGCCTGCGCTGGAGTTACTCTTACTATACGTGCTCGTACAGGATGCGCTCGACGCATGATCAAGCACTTCCTCTGTCCTTGTGCCGGGTGGAGAGAACGAGTGAGTACGGAGACGGGAAGATGAATGGGGCCACCTTGGACGGGGACGCGCCGGCTCGATGACCATTGCATTATCGTCTCCGCATGGTGCAGCAAGTCGTACTCGGGCTTGCGCTCCGCCGCTGGCTCGGGCGAGGATCCGCATACGCCAGGGTAGACACAAATTCCACGGGCGGGTGGCAGGTAGGAAAGATAGAAAAAGCCAAGTATTTGCAATGTCATCGAGTCTTCAAGCGCTTCGAGCCAATGCTGCCTGCTGTCGCACAGTTCTGATTTGGGGCGGCGGAAGAGAGCCGCCAGGTCGCGCAGGGCATTCGAGCTGCCCTTAAGACGGGCTAGGTTTATCGAATCCTCCAGGGTGCGCACGAACGGTTCGGGGCAAGCTCGACAGGCACGTGAGGAACAAACAAGGCAGTACACCGCGTCGCGTCTGACCACCTTCCTCTACCATTTCGAAATTGGGCTGCGAAACAATCCGATTGCCGGTGCTATGGCCGGTCTACCACATGCAATCTCTTTTTATTTGGAACTGAATCGGAAGGAATGGACGGAGCCTTTCAAATGAATGGTAGGGAACAATTGCACCGCACCATTTGTTGTGATTCTAAAGCGGACATCATTATGTCCCAGCCCGTTGGAAGAAAAAGGTGATATATAGGCATTGACCCCCGTCTCACTGTTGCAATGCGCGCAAAGACATCGGGCACTTGTGTGTCCCGCACACCTAGACCGAGTCTACTCCGCATGGCCGACGACTATGGATGAAGATCTCCGCTCCACTACTTGAACGACATATCCATCCTCGGAGATATCCTACATCTGCAGGTACCTGACCCACGGGAATGGGTGATCATGATTGTGTCTGCTGGAATGGAAGCAACAGATATGTTTACTCCCAAACCTTCTCTCGGGGAGTCTCAGCCACCGACATACTTTCCACATCGTCCGAGCTCAGTATGTCCCCCTCCGATCCTCAGCGTGTCCCCGATATCTCCGGGTTGCTGGCAAATTGGATGCTGAGTGCTTGAGCACGGTGATCTCCAGAGAGCGCGGGACCCCCAAACTGTATTGGGCGTGAGGGTCTCGAGCCCTCGAACGTGTCCAGGAAAGTTGTTTCATTCAATGACCTCTGCATACTCACGAGCAAAAGAACAAGCGGCGGATATGCGCCCTGCGAGTGAGATAAATTCGATGCTACCGAAGGCAAGATGGAGAAGGAACTTGCCGCAATCTGGACATTGATGGGAGTATATATATCGCCTAGTGTACCGTGAGGGAGGCGAATAAGGGACGCAGCCAAGACTGCCAGCTGAACGATAGATGTGAGTGGGATTTGAACCTCTGTATACAGCAGTTTATCACTCACTCCAGAGACGCAATACAGAAGACCAGATTCGACGACCAACACGAGGATCCGATCGGCCTTGGTACTTTTCTTATTATCTGCAAATGCAGCGCGAATTGATTGACGATGGTGCCTAGTTGAAGCAGTGAGATTAACAAACGATTAGTATGAAGATGGACGAGCGAACCAGGCAGTTATTCCAACAACGGCCGTAGCGGAGAGATTCGAGATCAGCGAAAATGCCAGGTTGCACAGTTGCAGAATGTTGACTCCTTTTACCAGATAGCTGCTATCCGGCAGTTGAGCGTAAGGAGACTGAATGAGCGCGATGATCCTGAAGACGATGGTGGAGGTAACGGTAACTAAGTTTGTTGAGTAACTCGAATATGACCTCGGGACGTACGTACGTACCCGCAGTGAGCGCCCAAAAGGCAATCGTGACGCATAGATACTTCCTGTAATTTCTGGAGGATATAATCCAGGCTCTCCAGACGACTACCCCGTCGCTGAAAATGTACTAGACAATTATCAGACTTGTCGAAGGCGAATAGTTGAGTAGCAATACATTGACAAGAATCAGCGCGTTGAAGAGAGGGGAGAATTTGGTGACACCGTCGTGGTCGTCGGTCAGTTCTCCCAAGTTCTGCGCGACCTGGACGTAGTGTTTCATCCGATCGACACAATCGGTGACAGAGTAGGCCCAGTATAATGACGATAGGGAATACGCAAAAATCGTGAGGAGGAACATGACGTGGTTTGCCCGAGTCTTCAGGCTTCGTTTTCTGTCAAA